TGGAACCTTTCAGCTTTCCATCCCTTCAGTTTTTTATCCCGTCAGCTTTGCATCTTTTTCACTTTTCATCGTTTCAGCTTTGTATCCTGTCAGCTTTCCATCCTTTTGGCTTTTCATCCTGTCTGCTTTTTATCTTTTCAACTTTTTGTTGTTTCAGAACTTTTCACCTTTTTGCTGTTTCAGGTATTCATCTTTTCACCCTCATCCGCATCCCACCCAGTCCTCTATGTTAACAAACGATTGTGTGGCCTTATTCGTTATCTTCACGAGTCCTGTGGATAAGGCCTACGGTTCAAATCCGCACACGCGCACAATCTGTTTTGTACGCACAATTTCCTTCTCTTGTCTGTTCATAAAAACTACTATGATCTTGAAGATATAAATTTCTCTCTCATTCTCACGAAAAATCTACAATATCAAGAAACTAAAATGTCTAGATATTCTCGAAAATAAAATAGACTAGAATATCTCAGAACAACACAAAGCTTAACTTTAGCCTTTCGCACAATACACTATCCTTTAGCAGTTAGACAGATCTGGGCCGTTCTCCCACAATTATAATTATATGTGTTATGAAGAAAAAGAAGTTGATTGCGTCATCAACATGTCCTCAGATCGAGCTCATTTTACCTTTCTGTGAAGAACATTACCCCTCTTGTTAATAATCCTATATGTATTCTTTCAACTTAAAGTTAATCTTCTAATTAGTACACAAGGATGAAATAAAAGTACTCTTGATGTCAGATGTCATATATAAATAATGTATTTAATTTTCTCTATGTCTTCATTACTTCTTCTACTTTTACTTCAATCACGAGAAAATTTCACGTTTAAAAAAAAGCAGAGAAATGGATGCTGATCTAGTTATACAACAAATGTCTCGATATGGAATGATTAGTTTACTCTTAATTGGTGATTTGGGCACAATTTTCAATTGTTTAATTTTTCGTCAACCAGCATTAAAATCAAATCCATGCTCAATGTACTTTCTTGCATCAAGTGTATCACAATTATTTTCATTTAATTTTGGTCTTCTCACTCGCATATTATCATTTGGATTCACCATTGATCCATCAAACACATCGTTATTCTATTGTAAACTGCGATCCTATTTATCAATTCTGGTACCATTATTTCCTCGTTTCTATATTTTATTGGCATGTCTCGATCGTTGGGCTAATAGTTCATCATCAGCTCACTTACGCAAATGGAGTTCAGTGAAAATCGCTCGACGTATGATTTTATGTAATTTTTTATTTTGGCTTTTAACATCTGTTCACCTACTGATTTTCAATAGTATCGTTCAAAATAAATGTCAGAATGTGCCAGGATTTTACCCGACATTTTACAGTTTTTATGTTTTAATTGTTCCTGGTTTAGGTCCAATAGCCGGCATGCTCATCTTAGGCTTATTAACCTTGAAAAATGTGAAAACAAATCGTCGCCGAATACATCCACTGAGAGCAGGTGAACGACCACGAATGAAACAAAAAGATTTACAATTATGTCAAATGCTTTTATTTCAAGTTTTAATTAATGTGTTACTAAATTTACCAAGTCCGCTTTATTTAATTTATTCAACATTTTCTACAGGATACAAGAGTCCGCAACGATTAGCCATTGAAAAATTAATGTCATATTTAGTTTTATTTTTGGTTTATCTTGGTTATACACTGTCATTCTTTCTTTATACACTTTCTTCAAGAACATATCGACATGAATTTGTACGATTATTTAAACAACTGAAACATACATTATCAAGACAACGACCACTACCACCAGCAAGATATCAAAACGTACACTCAAATGTTGTTTATACCATAAGAACACAAACAACAACAATACGAACGAGCTAATACAAAAACCAAAACGCAGATATATCTTTATTTTATGTACTAACTAATAGTGCTGTGATTTTTTAACTTTCTGTCGGATGCAAGAAGGAAATTCCTTGAAGGAATGTTTCTCTTCATTCAGTGTCCAACACATTTTGTGTGAACTACCGGACTTTTGAAGATGAAAATAGCAATAGTTCGGAAAGAAACAATGGGAAGCTAGGGATGCAACCGGTACCGGTATGAATTATAACGCCGATCGGTATACCGACATTAGTATGAAGTGTAATTAGTCAGTCCATATTGCAGGTATTTTGTGGAATGAGACGATTTTTCAAAAACATCGTGTAAATTCAGTTTAGCAGTGACATATTTCTTCCACAAAATTCCATTTTAATTACTTAAACTTTGTCGGCTTATATAAACTACTTAAGTTAAAAGCTTGAATTGGATTGTTGTTTTCGTAAAAAAAGAAACTTGTGAAAAATCACCTATAAAAAAATCACTTATCGTTTATGTGGCCAATGTAGGCATTGTAACTACTGATTTAAATAATTAAAGAGTCTACGCTTTTCTGTTCTAGCTTTCGTATTTAAATGCATATAAAAAGCAAACTTCTTTTGTGTATATTTGTAGCATCAATTAATAAAGTATTGATTTAGATTTTAGTTCAACTGCCTCACGTTCTGAATAACTGTAAATAAAGTTCAAGGAAAAGTATTTGTATTTAGGCAATACATGATCCAGACAAACCGCTACGGACAGGTAAATCGATCATCCGCATAACGGTTGGTACCTATACGAAGTTTCTGTGCCGATGACCGGTATCGGTATCGCATTTTTGATACCGCTTAAACCCGGTTACACCCCTGAAAGCCCTGATGAGTGAGAAAATGAAAAGAACTTTCTTAACTTTTTCTCCTTCCAAAAATATCGCTTAATTTTTCAGCAGAATGTTTCAAAATTTAGCGTCCTCTAAATTTGAAAGGGGGGATGAATTTTCATCTTTTAACTCATACCTTACGGTAGAGAACAGTAGAAATACCAATAATGGGAGGTAATGAAACTGATAGGTGGTATACCGATACAACGGTGAAATTCTTTATCCTTAAGCGTTCAAAGTTCACCTGAATATACTTTCTGTCGCAAAGCCTGAAAAACTCCTAATAATATTAACAATAGGCTGGCAAAAATTAATGGCCTGGCTCAAAGCTCCACCTACTTACTGATGAGGTTTTATTGTTCCGTTCAGAAGACATTTTCGAAAAGTACCTAAACTTTGTTTGTAGTAGAATCAATCTACAAAACAAATCTTTGACGGAGTATTATCTGGATCGAGACCGTTGAAAACATGTGCGTTTGCAGTAGTCTATTTTTATTGAATTTTAGAACATTTTCGATTCTTCTCCAGTTAAATGAATAAAAATGTATATGCGAAATACGGTAAAACATAAGTGAATATACTCGAAGACAGAAAGAAAAAGCAGTGAACAAATATGCATCTGATTCAGAATAATGCAATATGTATCTTGTGTCCTGATTCATCAGTGAATATCATCATGCTTGAAGTTTGTTATGCAAA